ACTAATAATGGAGAAAGAGATCTTTTAGAAAAAAAAATATTTTATATATTATAACGAAAAATTCTCTCTTTCGTTTCTAGTCCGACGGATTGAGGGCAGACTATTGTTTCCAGCAGTTTTTGATTTTTTTTTGAAAAAGAAGAAAAAAGGAAAAATAAAATTTACAAAACGGAATGAAATTAATTTTGCTAAAAATATTTACTTAATAAATAAAGATTTTTAATGAATTTTACTAAAAAAAACTTAAAAATAGTCGAAGGAAATTTTCGTCACAATCATTCATTTTTAAAAGGTACCCTAGAAATTTTTAAATTAGTTTTCTTTAAAAAATAATATTTTTTTTTTTATATTTGAACTTCCCTTTAATTTTTTCTGTGAATTTTAATTATTTCAAAAAAATTTCAATCAAAAAGAAAATAAAAAATATTTAAAAATTCTTTCATCATCTTAATATTTAAAACTTCTTGTTGTTTAAATATATAGAAATTGAAACAGTGCTTGACGAAAAAAAAACACAAAACGAAATTTTTCGTTATTAAAAAATTTATATTAATATATTTGAAAAGAGTAAAAATGTTGAAAGTAAAATAAAATTTTATGCAGTGAAAAAAATTGCTTTAGCTTTAAAATAAAGAAAACTGAAACAAACCGCATTTTTTAATCTACTAAAATAGTAAACGGAATTATTAAAAAAAAAAATTTCAATTCAAAGTAAAAAGGAAAAAAATATATAAAAAGACAAAATTTTTGTTTGTTCAATCCTGAATTAACAGAAACTTTTCTCGTTAAGTTAAAACAAAATAAATTTTTTTTCCTTTTTTCTTTCATTCCAAAATAAAAATTTATTTTTTTCAAGACAGGAAACACGATGAATAAAAGGAAACAAATACAGTTTTTATACTATTTTTTTTTCTATATTTCAATATTTTAACGTTTATTCTTTACAAGAAGGAGGAAAAAATGTGAATGCTGAAGCAAAAGACCATTTTTTGTTCACAATATAAAAATACAATGTGGAAAAAAAAGGAAACTTTTAGAACCAGTTTCAATTTTTTTTTGAAAGCAAAATTCTATATAGTGATGTAAAAGGTAAAATGTTATATGAAAATGTAAAATGTTATATGTAATATGAGATAGAAAAAAATAATTTTTTTTTTATAAAAACATTTTACTATTTTTTATGAAGAGAAGCTATTTTTTTTAAAGTTGAAACAAAAACCATTTTCAAATATTTCGATTGTGAAAATTTTTTATTTTTTTCAAGCCACATGCTTGAAGCTAATGAAATTTAAAAATTTTTTTAAAAATAGTTTCATACTTATGACTTTTTGGATTTGATTTTTTTATCCTGATCAAAAAAACCAAACTAAAAAATGTAGGTAATGTAGATAGAAAATACATAAAGAAGTAAATAAATAGATAGATTTAAAAAAAAAAAATTTCGAAGATTTATAAATTTTAAATAATAATAAATAACAGTAAATAATGGATGCATTATAGTATATTAGTTATTAGTCCGAGTCGATTTTTTAAAATAAATTTTTAGTTTACATTCAGTCTGAAGAAAACTGTTCTGTATTAAATTCAAAAACCGCCAGGGACCCAGGGTTGGAAAGTTAAAATACCCGTCACTCCATAACTCTGGTGGTCGAGTATCGCAACAAAATGAAGGCGCGCTGATTCAAAATTTTTAAATTCACAATCATAGAAAATACTTATTTTTTCACTTATAAAATAAAATAAAATAAAATAAAATAATTTTCAAGTTAAAATTTGTAATGACACCTAAAATTACAACAAAAAATATAGTCGAAACTTTTTTCTGATATAAAATAATATAAGTAAATGATAAAATAAATATAAAAAAAAAATATAAAATGAGATGCTTAAACATCGAGATATAAAAAAATAAATACAAAGAAAATGGTATATAATGAAAAAAAAATAAAAAAGGGGGGTTGTTAATGAACAAAAGTATCTTTACATCAGATTAATCCGTAATCCTCTGCTTCCATATTTATATAACTGATAAATTGACAAATTAAATTATTTTGTTTAATTATTATAAATATATGATTCAACTAGAAAATAAAAATCTCTCATATGCGCACAAAGTGCACGAAATTCATTGAATTATTAATGTGCTTAATTATAAAGCGTAAAATATGTGATGGTACTGTGTGTGGGTGTCTCCTCTTCATCTCACTCATTTATAAATTCTATGTGATGTATAATATGCAGTTTTAACTTGTTTTCAAACAATGCTGCTGGTAGGCAAAATGATAAAATTGAAATAGCGTCAATATCGAAGAAGATCGCGTATATACAAAATGACAATCTCGTTTTGTTTATTAAAAATGTAAATCACTATATATCACTGTATTGCTAAAACCAGTTAATATGTCGTTAAAATCTATTCAAAGTATATTATGAAATTAATAAAACAATTCTCGGCGCCCTAAATTATAATATGCCCGCAACTCCAATAATGAGTTGTCATTACTGTTTGCTAATTATTTTTAAAACGGAAGTATTTATACCGCCAGGACTTAAAAAAAAATGAAAATGAAAAAAAAAAATTAAATTAAAATGGCGGATCTAATATGGCTGACGAATTTTTTAAAAATTTATCAGATTTACTTGAAATTTGTTACACTTGGGGGTTATAATTATAATTTATTATATTGTGGTCGAATTTTTTTTCGAATTTTCAATTATTTATAATAGTAAATTCCTATACTTTAAAAGGATTTTTAAAAAAATGTTAAAAACAATAATTTTATCAAACTGATTGTTATGGAATGACAATGTATAATTACATATTTTTTTTATTATATTATTTACTTTTGCATTATCACAAATAACATATATGAAATAGTTTGTCTACACATGCGGACTTTGATATCTCCTGCGCATTATACACATCGAAACTAATAATTTCATTTTACATAATTTGAATTTCTTCAACCGGAAACCGTTAAACTCGAGCCAAAAAGATAATGCTTATGCGTTTAATGTCAATAGTTATTATATATGTATATAAACAACATGGGAGAAGAAAACATGAATTTGTACTTATAAATATATAAAATGGAAGAAAATTGAAAGCCAATTTTTTTTTTAATATATTTACTATCTTGTTTTTCATATGTTGATAAAATATTTAAATTCTATGTAAACTATGCAAGTGAACTTATTATCATGACTGTACAATGTGATTTTAAATTTATTATTTTTTATTAGGAAGTAAAAAATAATTTAAAAAAAAAATAGTATTAAAATTATTTTTTTATTTTTTATTATTATTTTGGTTTTAAAAATAAAATAAAGGGTCTTTTTTTTTTAAAATAATACCCTTTTAAAATAAAAAGGTCTCGACGTTGACAATCAATTTAATATTTTCCTCTTCTATAAATAAATATTTTTCGGATTGAAAAATCAAATTTGAATTTAAACATACAAATTTTATAAAACAAATAACTTATTTTTAAAACGAAAAAAGAAACTATTTTTGACAATCGAACCGGAAAAATTGTCAAAAATAAAATCCGCGGTTTTATATAGAAAAGCAAACATTCAAAAGGTTATGAAAGAAACTTTGAAGTTTATGTTTCAGCTTCTATTCACAGCTATCAAAATACTCGTTCAATGTTTAAAATTTCTTTTTGAGTAAATAGAAAGATTTATAAGAAAAAAAATAGTATATACAGAAAAAGTGCGTTGGGAAAGAAAATAATGATATGCAGGAGTCATGAAGCAATTAAAATCAAATGAACATGTTTATATCTGATGTATAGGGGAAAGGTACCTTTTTGAAATAAAGATTTCACACTTCTTTTCCCCTTTAAAAATTAATTATAAAAGTGTAATTATTGCCTTTGAGGTTATTAAGTGTGTTTCAATCCTCTGCCTACGCGTTGACTTACGTCCCCACTCTAGCGCTCTTCCCCCTCCCTTTTATTCGTCGACTTGAAAAGTCACTAGAAAAAAATTTATCTAAATTGAGGAGAAGAAGAAAATTTTCCGAGAAAAGTGTGTTAACTATTTTTAAATATAAGTTCAAATAAAATTAATATAATAATATAATAATAATTATAAATAATAATTAAAATAATAATTATAAATAATAATTATAAACAATAATTATAAATAATAATTATAATATGCAATATTATAATATTGCAAACGTTAAATAATTATATTAAAATATCTGCGTATAATTATAACAAAAAAAAAAGTTTATAGCAACTTTTTAATAGAAAATGAGGAAAAAGTTTTTTTAGATTATAATAATTTTTAAAAGTTTTCGACAAATATTTGACAAAAAAAAAAAAAAAAAAAAGAACCGAAATTTTCAATTTACATTTTGTGCAATGTAAGACTTTGTAAAGTAAAATTCTCTATCACATTGAACTGCAAATTTTCCCGTTAGCGTTAAGTCAACCGGGCAACGTTCTAGAGATAGAATAGCCCCAAATCGTTCGATCACGAAGATGGATGATCGACAAATTGATAACGTCCCTTTCGTCCTTAATCTCCAAAGCTTTAAAAAATATTTATGTTCTACTACCCAGATATAAACAAAAAGCGAGAGAAAAAAGCAGTTTACATCTTAGGATTATTTATAAATTTAAAAAATAATCGAAAAGGACAATATAAAAGTAATTAAACTTTTTTTAGAATTTTAAAAAAATGTTCTTATTATTATTAATATTGTTATTATTATTATTAATATTATTGTTATTAGCATTATTATTTTTAAATTAAAAATATTTCTTTTCAAGAAACGTTAAACTAACGTTAGGCTAACATTAAACTAACATTAAACTAACGTTAGGCTAACATTAATCTAACACAATAAATCACAATAAATAATTTTATCACTTTTTGCCGCAGAGCGTCTAAAAATATTATTATAAAAAAAAAAATTTCTAAAACTAAAAAAAAAAAGTTTATATTCAAATACTCATGGGGAAAAATAAATATTTTTTATTTTACAGCACTGTGTTAGCGTGGCCGGAGGTGGCGGCGCCGGCGGTGGTGGTGGCGGCGTTAGCAGCGGCCGCCTGAGTCTTCACCTACGTCCGTGCGGTGGCAGCGGCGGCGGCGTCGTCGGTGGCGATTCGACCGTTTCGGATTACCCGCCAAGCGCTGCGGCAGTGCGGAATCGAGAGGCGGCGGCGGCGGCGCTGCACGCGGCAAGGACACTGTTGGGCGCGGGGGTGGCCAACCCTTGCTCGCCCACCCCCGAGCCGCCCTTCTGGAAAATGCCTCACAAAGGTTTGTATATATACATAAAAAAAAACGTTACAAAAAAAAAAATAATAATAAAATAAAATCATAATAATACTCCTTTTTTATGGCAAAAAAAAAAACCGAATTATCGATCCACACCTAACCTAAAAATAGTTTCAAGCAAAAATCTCGTCAATCCTGTATAGTTGCTTAAATATACGTTATACTCTGTACAGGTCATGATTTTTATGTTCCTGACCCCCAAAATATTCGAAAATGACAAAAAATACCGAATTCAATAAAATTTTTTATTTTACAAAATCAAAAAATTATTTTTAAAAAATTATTTTTTCATTTTGTAAAATAAAAAATTTTATTGAATTTGGGACATTTTCGGATATTTAGCGGGTCCGGGACATTTTAAAATAATAAATAAATATTCAAGAATGGGATCGTCTATATATGCTAAATGAGGGAGGAAAGGAGAATTTAAGGTATTCTTTATAAGCAAAAAAAAATTATGAGGGGGAAGGGAGGGGTCAAAATTGAATTTAGATAATAAGGGAAATGTTAAAGGAATCAAAGAGGACAAATTTTTAGCGTCACCCTGACATTTTGATGGTAAAATAAGTCATCTAGTACCGTCTTTATTAAGGAATTGTGATTCTTCGGTTGTATACGCAGAATTTTAAGAATTAAGGGGATTTTTTTTTTGTAGAATAAAAATGATGCGTGTTCCTGAAGGTAGAATGTCGGAGAACAAAAAGAATCCCGAGCAAAGAGTAAGGCGGTAGTAAGTAGATAAATAGATACTCTATATGAGTTTACAGTGGGGCTTGTGGTTACCCCAAGTTGGCCCGTAACCCTAGTCGCTTTTGCTTGGCTTCTGTCGGGCCAACAGCCCCTTAAAGCTTCGTAACCCAAGGGTTGCACTTTATCACCTCAATTCAAAAACTCCCGACAACGATGAATTTATATTTAAGCCAAATTCATATTTTTCTATATCCAAACTTTCGCAATTTGACAATAAAAAAAAAATTTATTTGCATAACTTTAACAAAAACCGTCATCAAGAAATTAAATAAATAAAATAAATGTCGATTAGAAACAATTCAGTTACTATTTTAATATTTTCTGATCCACTATTTCAATAGGTTTAAAATTCAGTCGCCATATTGGATCCGCCATTTTGAATTTTGCAATTCAGATACAATATAACGATTTTTTTTTAATGACAAATAAAAAATGCAAAGTTTAATTAATCATCTTCCCTAAATCGTCACAAATCGAATATTTAGCACCAACGCGGAAATCAGGGAAAATTTTTGAAAGTACTGGAAAAAATTGAATTTTGGAGAAGTTATATACAAATAATTGCAGAAATTCAATTATTTTCAAAATTAATAAAATTCTTCGCAGAAATTCAATTATGTTCAAAAATTTTTTTAAAATTCTCGTCAAAATTCAATTATTTTTAAAAATAATAAAATTCTTCACCGAATTTCAATTATTTTTAACAAATTTTAATAAAATTCTCAGCAAAATTTCAATTATTTTCCAAAAAAATTTTCCTCAATTCAATGATTTTCAATATCTACTATTTTAATAAAATTTTTCAAAAGAATTCAATTATTTAAGAAAAGAATGCTGATAAAATTTTAAGCAAACATTAAATTATTTTTATAAATAATAAAAGTTTCACAGCAATTCAACTATTTACAATTTTTTTTTATAAATTTCTTCGCAATAATTCAATTGTTTTTATAAATAATAACATTTTTTTTTTACAAAAATTCAATTTTTTTCATGAATAACAAAACTCAAAGAATTTCAATGATTTTTAATACAATTTTAATCGAATTCCTTAAAAAAAATTTATTAAAATTCGTAAAAAAAAAAAATTTTTTTTTTTTTTAATAAAAATTTCAATTGTTTAGAAACTTGTTGATAAAATTCTTTATGAGAATTCAATTTTGAAAACATTCAATTATTCAATCATTTTTTCATTTTTGTATTTAAATAATTGAATTCTAGTAGAATTTTCTAATAAAAATTGATTTTCATTTCATAAAAATGAATTTCAGTTAAAATTTTAGATAATAATTAAATATTAAAAGCATTGTAGCATTTATAAAAATAATTGAAATTTGAATTCTTTCATAGAATTTTAATAAAAATTTAATAAAATTTATGAAAATATTTACATTTTTTGAAGAATTTACTTAAAATATTGTATTAAAAATAATTAAAATTATGTGAAGAATTTTATTAATTTATTAAAGTAATTGGATTCTTGCTTAGAATTTTATTAAATTTTTTTTAAATAATTGAAATAATGTAAAGAATCTTATCATTTATGAAAATAATTGAATTCCTGTAACGAATTTTTTTTTTTTTTTTTTTTAATAATTAAATTCTTTTGAGAAATTTTATAAAAATAGTATATACATAGATTTTGAAAATATTTTGATTTCAAAAAAAATTTTATTATATTCGTGAAATGTAATTATATTCAAGCAAAAAATTTAAGAAAATAATTTCATTTTTCTAGGATTTTATTTTAAATTGTATTAAAAATAATTGAAATCCTCAGAAAAATTTTATAATTTATGAAAATAATGTAATTCTTACAACGAATTTTGTAAATTTTTTTTTCTTAAATAATTGAATTCATGGGAAACATTTTATTATTTGTAAAAATAATTGAAATCCTTAGAAAAATTTTATAATTTATGAAAATAATGTAATTCTTACAACGAATTTTGTCAATTTTTTCTTAAAGAAAAATAAAATTAATAAAATTTTATTATTTGTAAAAATAATTGAATTCTGCAATGAATTTTATTACATTTTTTTAAAAATAATTTAATTCTTTTTGAGAACTTTTATTAAAATAGTAAATTTTGAAAATTCTTGAATTTCAGTGAAGAAATTTATTATTTATAAAAATAATTGAATTCTTGCAACGAACTTTATTATAATTTTTGTAAATAATTGAATTAGTTGAAAAATATTATGGACATTTAAATTTTTATAAAACATGAAGATAACAATTACTCCGAGTCGTAGACTCGGAGTGATTGTTATCTTCATGTTTTATAATAATATATTCTTATATATGTTGTTGAATTTTAAAAATGTTTCGAAGAATTCCAAGTCCTGTGGAAAAATAATAATTAAATTCATATTTAAAAATTTAGTTATTAATGTGCTTTCGTCGTCTGCTACATTTTTCGTGAAATGCCGTTACACACTTGTCAACATTTCTTTCTATACGCCTTAAGCGCGCTAAACCCAAAAATAATTATTAGATGAAATTATAATAATGAAGTCACATCGCCACAACAAATATTTCAGTAAATTTATGGATATTTAATTAATTTTTAGCTTTTTACAAGTAGCCTTCACTTGCTTCTCCTGAAGGAAAAATGGATCAAAAAGGAGTAACAAAATTAAAGTCCCCCTAAGCACCCGAAACTATTCAATGAATTTTATGTGGAATTTCATCGTATCTACATTAAACTTCCCTTTTGAAAGTTTAGGAAACTTTTTGCCGTCAATTTGTCACGGAGACTCTCAGTGGCACACTCTCGATAATCCGGCACCCTCGACATTTATTACCCCCTTGATTCTCTCCTGCAGGTAATCCCCCCTCTCTCTCTCTCTCTCTCACTCTTCTGGCTCACGATTCGTTGCGCTATAACCATTAACAAATCTTTCTTTGCAGCAGAAAATAAAGAGCTCTCTTGAAACGTTTTGATTTCAGTAGTGCACATCGGTCTCGGGGGTTAGAGGAGAGATCATGCGTCCCCGATGGGAAATATTGAGGGGGAGGAGTTATAAAAAAAAAAGTGAAAGAGGAGAGGGGACTTAGCTCGTGCCAAAGCGATGCCAAAAGTATACAGCATTATCGGTTATACAATGTTCTCTTTTTCTGATTATTCGGTTATAAAAGGGGAGCTTATTTTTTTTTTCCTTCTGTAACCCATATTATATGGGTACTCTCGTGCCGCGCCCTTGGAACCCCCCTGTGGGTGCAATGTAACGCGATCCCATGGTAAGAAAGGCGCCGAGGTAACCGCGTGGTTATTATTAGTTGAAATTGCCATCAAAAGCGTTCTAATCACCCCAGCAAGTGGTCTGAAGGGTCTTTTATTATCAATTTTCTATAGATATGAATAGAAAAGTTGCGAAAAAGTAACGATCGTTTAAACGAATGATTACGCGAGGGGTATTTAGCATAATCGACATTGACGGTTAATTTATCACTAAAAAGTAGAATTTTACATAATTTTTAAAAACTTACCTATATCCTCCTTATTCTTATTTTAATCGCAAAACTTTTTTCACTTCTGATCACTTATGATATTTTATATATATTTTTTTATTGTTTTGTCACTTTTTACTTCTTATCATCCCATATATTAAGTATATTATTAAGAATGATGAAGAATATTTAAGAAAAAAAGACGTGTTCTTCACTTTGTAATCTGTAATATTCTGTAATACTCTGCAATATTCATCATGTATTATGTATAATACTCGCACTTGACCACGTGGAATAAATTAGAACCTCAAAAATTTGAAATTATTTCAGCCAATAGCGACCGTCATCATGTCATTTTCACAACCAATCACGACCGTCACAGAAAAATAGTTGTTTTTCTATTAAGGATTCCGTATAAACTCTACAGGACGAGGTGATGTCTCTTCTAGTCCGATTTGGTTAATCTCTATATTTCATCCAAATGGCGTACCGAGACAAATGCCACTTTGAATTCAGCTAATTCTTACCGCTTTACATTCGAAAGATATATATGAAAATTCATTAAAGTTGTTGTCCCTTCCGTAAAACGGAGTAATCCCCTGACCGTCGCAACTTGTATTTTTATTCTTGTGCAAAGACATTAAAATTCATAACGAAATCGTGAAATACGGAAAAGTCACCAAACTAAGCATTTTCGCGAACGAGAAAATTAAATTGAACATAAATTTTAAAATAGACTAAAATTGATAGAAAATATAATATAAATAAAGTATTTTTT